CACATTTGATGCAAAGTTTGATAGCAACAAATGTTGATAAAAACAAAACATGTTTTAATCCAACAACATTCCCAAAATTTTCTGAAACAATTTTTAATTTCAAAACAGTGGTCATTTACGTCTACCAGCACCATAAGTTTGTAATAACACAAACTTGTTCGTTCCGTAACGATATATCTTGCTACTATCAAACATTCCAACGGTTTTGTTGTTATATTACAACATGGTGAAAAGTAGGAATCGTTGTTATGGACCACTACGGTCAAAATAGAAGGAACTTTGTCACATGCCAATGAAAACTAATGGTAGTGTTTTTTTAACAAGCTAGTCATCACAGAGAGTACGATAATTTGACAACTTTTTTCAACTGTGTATGGCTCTGAACCACCGTTTCGGACTTTACTTTCTTCTCTTGGGGTGTAATTTTACAGGGGTCAAAGGCTGTTAAGACACCCCGCAAAGTGATAGGGGCAAGAGAGGGATAGAGGGGAACAGTGTGCGCCATCAGAATGATGAGGGAGCGTCCAGGGGAGGCTGCAACTCGCTAATTCCGGCAAAATCGCAGTTTTTGAGTTAAAAAACGTTAAAAATTCATGCGCGACCTCTAAATTCAACTCAAAAAATCGGAAAAAAATCGTTTTAGTATCTACTAGTCAGTCCGTTTACTGCGGCAATGTGTCCCGAGCACTTTTTAAAAACAGCATTTTTTTGGGACGGTCTAGCCCACGCTGACCCTTTGCTGTCATCCCCCAGGCTGTGGGCGCTGTCCCCCAACGTGCCCGAGTTCAGCGTGTCGTGGCACTCGCAGGTCGCGCAGGCCATCATGCACAAGGCGGTGGGCGTCACCTCCGTGGCCGCGGGGCCGGCGGGGGCGGCCGTCGGGGTGGCGGCGCGCCTCGTCCCGGCCGGCCCCTGGGCGCCGCTGTGCGCGCTGCTCGCCTGGGCCTGGGCCTCGGCCTGGGCCTCGAGATGAGGAGCAGCAGCCTGTGGTGGTGGTGGTTGCTGATGCTCTTTCTGGCCAAGCGGACAGAGACTCGTGTGTCGACGGCGCGCTGCCGCGTGGTCGTCCTCCTGGCGTGACGTGGTGCGGGGCGAGGGGAGGGGCGCGCGCCCGACGCCAGTTGAGCTGCCTATCCACCGGGCGCCGTGTGCGTCGACGTCAGCCCGGCGAGGAGCCGGCACTCATAGGAAAAAAGAAACTTTTAATACGAATTGAAATGGACGGGTGCTTGTCTCGCTGTCGGCCTAACCGCGGGGCTCCGTCCGAGCCCTCGTCCGACGACAGCACGCGAAACACACTTGTTTCACCCTGGTGTCGTCGTACTTATATGGTGAACATCTATTTTTGACACTGTGTTGTGATGATTTTAATCTGCATGCCAGATGCGCCGCTGGACGGTACGAACAATCCATGAACCTGATCACTCTCGGTTGAATCAAAGGCTTAGACTATATGAGGGTCTTTAACTTGGTGTAACGATACCTGATTGAATCATTTTTGGAATGTGTATACAATCACTTTTCCATTGTTTTGCCATAATACTTTTTAATGTTTTCTTATTTATTCCCCCCGTTTTATTTTTTTTTCTGTGGGAGAAAAGAGTGTTTTGTTTTCTTGTCAATTTAAATGTTTAAAAGAAACCTATTTTCAAAGAAGAAAGAAAATGAAGATCATGTCTTGTAAGTATCTTTATTTTGTTATAAGTCTCCCACTTTCACGTAAGTCTGAAACTAGGTATATTTATGTTCCATTAAAGAATAGGGCATAACTATGCAATTTTATTGTTGTTTTCAAATTGAGGTGCCTTTTGTTATTAAATTATGTCATTACATTTGGTAAGAACCCATTCTAACATGTAGATCTAGATCAATTCAGTTCTTATAATGCTCATTTTTTCTGAAAATGAAATTCTCTATCTAAGACCAATATCTGTTTCATTGTAGTGATTAATCAGATTTTAAATATTGTGTTATTAAAATATAATGTGAATAGTGATGACTGTGTGATGAGGGGTCTAATTCGGAAAAAAAAGTAGAAAATGGCATAATATGACCATATGAGAAGAAATGTGCTTTTTATTTTGCTTGGACAAAAATGTCAAACATTCTTCATGTTCAACTCAATAGCGCTTGATTAACCCAACACACTCTGTACTGGCACCACCATAGCACGTAGAAAACACATGTCAGTTTGGAAAACTTTTCTTTTGTTTTTGGTCATCTCAACCTGTATAACTAGACAAAGTTAATTAAAATGGTATGCGCCTATTTCCAATGTCAACCGTAACTATCTCACAAACCTTATTTATGGTAAATAGACTGTTGTAATAGCCTTTTTTTAAGCAACTTTTCGTGTGCTGACGTAGCAGGGCCACGGACAGGAGTTTGTTTCTACATAGATTTTTTTTTTTTTTTTACTGCACATCGAAACCAGAGACCAAGAGGATGGTCTTAAACACATTCACAATAGAGACGCACGGCATCTTTGCGTAAAGTTAGTCCAGAAGCCGTCTGTACGGGACATGACTCTAACCGTGGCGCGCCGGAGACTGTTGAGGCAGGTCAGGGAGCCGAAACTGGTTCAGGACGTCCCTCACCTCTCTATCCGCCACGGACTTGTGCTCCGTCTCTCTCGCTCTCACGGGACGAGCGGGCCGGTGGTCAAGCGGCCGAGCGCGTCGAACAACACTGAGGTGACCGCCATTAAATCGGTCCTTCGAATCCCACTTTTGACGCGCGTTGAGCAACCGATGGAGCTGGGCGGGGCGGGCGGCGTGTATGGGCGGACAGGGTTATTGATTCGGCCTGTTCGATTTAGATTGGGCTTAAACGGCTCTTTTTTTCTGGTAGAAGGACGAACATAATTGGTTGTGTCGGTGTGTCGCCTAATCCTACACTTACACTCCCCTTATCACACCTGCAGTGTTGGCCCTTTACAACCTATCATTCAGCATCGTTTTCTTGTGTTTTACTCATCGAACAGCACGAGCGAATGAAGAGAGGAAAACGTGTTTCTGTTTTCATTTCGGATCACCAGCAGCATTTTGACGCGGAGCGAAAAGTTTTCTCTTTTCGTCATGTCAATAAAAGGATCACCTTCATCTCTCTAGCAGACCCCAAGGGGGTAAAAAGTTCGTGCCGCGCGAAGAATTTCTCTCCCCGCCTCCCTTAAAAGTTGCAAAGCCCTGCCTGCTTACCGCGCTCGCTGCGCCCCGCCCTCCCTCACCTTAGACTGCAGACAAATATTATTAGAGAGTGAAGCAAAGGAACTAAGACACGGTCGAGGGGGTATTCACTTCGGATTTTCGTGTACAGACTACTCCGTATTACGGGTATTACGCGTATTACCGAGTATTACTGGGTATTACAGGGTATTACCTGGTATTACCGAGTATTACCAGGTATTACAGTGAATTACCAGGTATTACCAAGTATTACAGCGTATTACCTGGTATTACCAAGTATTACTGATCATCTGAAAAAGGTTTTTTCGG